ACTTGATCGCCGAATCTTGTTTACAAACGTTTATCTGCACTCGTCTCACAGACAGTGAGACGGGGGGAGCTGAGGGATGATGAAGGAGGTGTGTCCCATGAGAGAATTTGTTTTGGTCTGACAATCTTCCCTGAAAGTCAAAAAGTCTCACTGTGATGATCCACTCCAAACCTATTGATTTGTTATGGTTATTGAGGTCTTACCCATTACAATGTGGTCGGACTTGGTGGCTTTTTCTCCTGAACTCTGATGGGGGTCAAGAGGTCATCCTGTGGAAAGCAACCTCTGGTTCATGCAAATAGGGAATATAGACATTTAGCATTCACCCCAATACTTGACATAACATTTTAATTCTTACAAAGCACATTTCATTTTGCCATCAGTAAGTGAAGGTACATTAAAAAGTAACATAAGATGTCAGAGAACATATTTCAGAGTGCTCCAACATCTGTTTCACATTCTCACTTCACCTTCACCTCCGCCCGTCTGCACCTCCTGCGTCTCGTTCGTTTTGGCTTTCATCCTTCAGCGTGGGGTTTTTGTGGCTGTGTGTACATTACAGCTGACTAATCACGACACTTATTTTTACTCAGCACTTCAAAATATTCTCACGCCTTTGAGGATGTGCATGTAACGTCCCCGCACAGAGAAAGCTTCCATTCATGTGTAAATTAATAATAATCTTCACCCTCTCATTATTTCTTTCTGTCTCTACCTTTCTTGTGTTATTCACGACATGATGAGTTCAGTGAAGGGGAAGTTTTTGTTGCCGAGAGGAGGTTGTTTTTGCTTCCAGTGGCTCGTGCAGCGTCTCAGACCCTCTGTGATATTTTACCCCCTTTGTCTTTTGGATGAGTGTGGCCCTGCTGGTCTGACAGAGATGGATGTAGAGTGTTTGTTTCAGAGGGCACTCAGTGATGCAGCAACAACAGGAGGGACACTGGTTTTCACTTGAAAAGACAAAGGTGGCCTTTTGCAAACACAATAGGCAGAGGAAGATATTTCCAATGACAATTTGTCTTGTTCTTGCCCTTATTGTCCAACATTTGGCTTCTTTAGACATGGTGAAATGTAAACGCCCAACTCAAAAGCCACTGACTCCAATCATATACCAGAGAATACAGGTACACAGGTACATGCATCACCGCTTGACACTCTTTGTAATCCATATAGCGTCCTCTGCTGGTGAAAGAGAACTGCTAGTGTAATACAACGATACTCAAAATAATTGCTTTTTGACTGGTGAATAAATCAAGTAATATCTGCACATATCTCTGTGATGAAATACAATACGATAGTTACTGGATATGCTAATATCAGCCGAGATTATCAGCTGGTCAATTAATCAGACGGGATCTAAAGAAGAGGGACCCCTTTGATCCAAGGAGTCAGGATGATGCTAACACAAGGTTGAGTTTTGGGTGGTTCACTGGGTAAAATGTTAGAACAAGCTAGATTCTGCAGTTGATCTTTACAGACATGCTAAAGGTTCCCTAATCATATTACAGTAAAGGATAAAAGATCCCCCAGATTACCATTAGCAAAGTAACACTCTTTTACCTTTGAGGCGCCGGATAGCCTAGCCTGTAGTGTTAAAGTCAAACGCCACCTGTACAGGAGCTATAGTCCTCGTCACAGCGGCAGTGGGTTCTAATCCAAACTGGACCATTTGCCTGTCAAAACTAAAAGTTTGATGCATCTATACCCACGGCCTAACAAGATCCCCTTATGTAGCTGAGGACGTTGGAATCCCCAGTCAGAAAGATTTTAGTCTGATAAAATAAATGTAAACATTGCTATAGTGAGGATATCTGGATCAAAGGTGATCTAGTCAATCCGGTGTTTGAATAAACCGGCATCAGAGTCAAATTAAGTGTTGCTGAGCTTTTTGCACAAATTACAGAGTTTCACACAATCAACAAGCAGCCACACATATGAATAACAAATTAAACAGCAAATGTTTGTCCTGATCTCCCACAAACACAAAAGGGAGAACATCTGCAGCTGATGTGTCCGACTCCAAGTCATTTAACATCCTCTTAAAAGCATCCAATGAGAGCAGCTCGTTAAGTTTCAGCTGTATTTGTGACTCATTCCAAGTAACGGCAGCAGCAAACTTAAAGAGCTCAGTTCTGTCGGTCCTGGGATTGAAGATTAAGTCCGGATACTCTTCTGACTGATGGAGGTCTGAAGGATGTAGACCTGAGGTAGACTTGTAGGAGCTAGATCTCGTCATGCACCTTTAGTAGTTTGTGACAGAAAACCCGACTCTGCGTCTTCTCATCTACGTTAGTGAAAGATGAGATGTGGAAATCCAGTTAGACTTTATTCTGCAGCTGCAGTTTCTTATTTTGCAGACATTTTTATGCATGTTTGGCTTCTCACATCTGTTTGTTCAGCAGTTGAAGAAAGACTCAGACTCTGTTTGAAGTTTGGTCTGTTTTTTATAATTCATTACTCCGGCCCTTTCTTGCGATCCGAACACTATAACACCAGTTTCTGCTTGTTGAACACATTTGTTGAAAGTTTAAAAAGTTCCTTGAATTTAATATTGATATCAATCCTTCAGAACATTTGTGCAGTTTTCAGACTTTGGCTTTTTTCGAAATTTATTTTACAGTCTGACGATCCGCCTCAGTCTAGCACACACACACAAACACACACAGACACACACAGACAGACACAGACAGACACACACACACACACACACACACACACACACACACACACACACACACACACACACACACACACACACACACACAGACACACACAGACAGACACAGACAGACACACACAGACACACACACACACACACACACACACACACACACACACACACACACACACAACACACACACACACACACAAACACACACAAACACACACAGACAGACACACACAGACACACACAGACACACACACACACACACACACACACACACACACACACACACACACACACAAACACACACACACACACACACACACAAACACACACACACACACACAGTGTTACACATCTATTGAACAGAACACGCTGCAGCTCACAAAAGCAAAACTCTTTGAATCATTTCAACCAAATCCATGCAGTTAAGTTTGTGTTCTTATACGTCAGATCACTGAGTGCACAGGAAAGCGTCTTTCAGCTGCCATATTCATCATAATCCTCTTCACTGCTGGATTCAAAGACTTCAAACTGAAGAGAGGAACATTCAAACCTGCCGCTCAGCCGCGGGTTGATCTGAAAATGTAAGGTGCAAACTGCGGGAAAAAAGAGCTGTGGAGTCATAGAAGGAGCATAATGAAATATAAATCAGATACGTAAAGGGTTATAGGTAGTCAAATATTCAGTTATCCCCTTGTGGTAATGACATTATGAAGCTTACACTTACAGTAGGTAAACAAACTATAAGGATTCCAAGTGGTGAAGGAAAACTAGCGCTAGGTAAAGGCCCTGACACACCAAGCAGACGGCAGAGTGGCACTAGTGGCGACCAAGGCCGACTGTGGAACACTAGAACACACCGCAAAGACTTCAGCGGACGGCCAACCACCACGTACGTTCTGCACATGCATGAGAGGAAATAACTCTCCCGTCCAGCAGACGCCGGTAGTCCGTTGGTATGATACGAGAAGACCATTTTCACACCGCTGTCGCTCAACACTTGTGTCATAGGTACTTCTATAGATGGAAACATCCCGGACCTAAACCCCCAGCCAGAGGTGCTGCCTGTCAATAGGTGACTGCTTGGGGCCCCAGGAAGGTAGGGGGGCCCCCACAGCAGTGGAAATGTGCAAATTTCGCAATGACAGTAGGAAACCTCCCTAAGGGGGCTCCACCTGACAGCACTCACTCTCCTTGCCATACCAATCGTGACATAAATGATTGTGGTGAAAACCAAAGTTTATCAATGAACGTCAACAAAGAAAAATGGAAGAGGAATGATCCGTCTATAGGAGGGGAAAAAGAAAAGAGGAAGGATCAGGACACTGGCAGACATGATGGTGATGGTTGGAGTGGTCCTTAATTGCTTTTGGACTCGAGCCCCGTCAGACTCTAAAATCCCCACTGCTTTAAACCATCATTGGGCTCCTGATCCACCAGTCTCACCAGTCCATGCTCTGTCCGTGGTGTCAGAGTGAATCCATTGGCCATGTGTACAGCTCCCTTCCCTTTTTTGTACTTGTAGCTTAATTGCCCTCTTGGCAATGGATGCACAGCTTGTTGGCTGACTCAGAAACATTTATGAATATGAAAATCAGTGCACAGTTTTCAATAATGTTATGACTCTTAGCCGCGGCCATAAATCTAAGCGTAATTGAGCTCTAGTGTTTTTTTTCTAAGCGAGATGGCAGGGCATCAGTGATTAGAGACACACCTTGGCGGGCACTTTCCCCCTGCACTCTGATGGCTTTATCTCCAAATGTTATGTTAATGTAATCACTAACACTGAGAAAGTGCTGAGTCGCTCTCTGCGCCGTCGTTACAGTCTTTCAGGAGTGATGAAGTCATTTGCATCGGAGGCTCACAGGGTTTGACAAGAACAGCTAACAAGTTTCCTAAGCTGCCAAAGCCACTTTTTGCATGGATAAAGTGTTCCCTTATCTCCTGCAGTTTGAGGCTGGGTCTCTGTATTTTTGCTTTTATCCGATTATGCCGTCAGACCTCACAACAAATCAAACTTTTCTGTGAATCTGCAGCTTGTACTGCTTCAGCTTTTCTTTTCACTTGCAGCTTTTATTTACCTTGACCATTCACCCCAATGTTTTAATCCCTCTAGGGAGAACTCATCTGAAGCCGCTTGTATGAAACACATTCGAAATAATTTAGTTTCTGTACCCTTTTCGATTATATTTATCTCTTGTATCAACCTAAAATGATCCCCAACCTTCTCTTGTCTTCCGTCCAGTTTAATCTCCAAATCATGTATTTGTAAATGACTGACTGTCCCCTTTTTGTCTCCCTCGTCTCTGTCCTCCTTCCATCTCTTCCCCAGGATGTTCAGATTGTGAGTACAGATGAGAACCAGGTCTTCCTCGCCCTTCAAGAGTGGTACCAGTTGGACACTTATAACCTGTACCAGTCGGACCCTCAGGGAGTCTACTACTCCATCGTCCTGGAAAATGTCCGCAGCACCAAGCAGCCCGAGGAGAACACCCTCATCGACATACTTGAGGTGAGACTTAGACGAAGGAAGCAGGATAGACGTTGGACATTTAGTGTTTACTCCTTCAAGATTCATACAGGCTCTAAATGTACGCTCTTTCTCCTCTAAGTCCTTAAAACTATAAACACTATAGACCAAAAGAGAACTAAAAACATAACCATAAGAATACACACAAGGAGTGAAGAACACAAGGGAAGGAAAAGACAAAGTAAAACAGTACATGGGCAAGGGCAACACATTTTTGACTAGAAATAAGACAAATAAGATTTTTACAGTGTAAAAAGAAACACTATCAAAACAAGTGGATAGCTTGTTGTTATGGGTTTCTAAGCAGTGATTGGACTGTCACTGTGACAGTGACTGTTTAGCTTACAGTTCATTATAGAGAAGACTCCATGATTATTTCATGGAGATAGCTGCCTCTCACATCACTCTGTATGTTATCGCAGTAAAGCGATTGTTCATCTTGTGTTGTCATCTGGAGTGTTTTGGCAAGGTTTCTAGATAAATGGACGCAGACACCATGAAACAAGTAGAGGAAAAGGAAAGAGAGAGGAAATATGGGAGGAAAAGGAAGAGGTTTGGACCATGGAGGCAGAGGCCGTCACTGCAGAACTCATTTCCTCCTCCTCCTCCTCCTCCTCTCTCCTCCTCTTTCATCCCTCGCTCGGGGCTGCACTCTCATCACACGCTGTAGATAGAGGATGGAGAGGGGTACAGCATGCAGGGATGGATAAAGTCTTCAGGCTGAAAAAGTAGTGTCAAAAAGAAGAAATGGTTCAGCACTGAGCAGAAGAGGTGCAGACAGAAAGGAGGAGAAGCCAGATGTCCAGAGAGAATACAAGCAGGGTTGTGTACTTTGATTTCAACAATTACCTTGTTTCCCTCTATAAACATCGGCGCTAAATTATAGATAGCACAGGGAGCTGGGGGAGTGTGTGGATGGAGACATGTCTGACACACCACCTCGCTCTGTTCTGATGTTTGTGTGCACCGTCTCCATCGTCGTCGTCTTCTCCGGTGCAGCATGTATTGATTTCAGTGAATTAAACTTTTACCAGCCTGTAGTTTCTGTGTCAGTGTTTAAAGGAACACACAACGGGGCTGACAGTTAAGTGAACAGCCTTTTATGTTCTGGTTCATATTCTGAAAAATTACAATGCCAAGGTGTTGTGACTGGATCTAAAGGAGAGGAGGGACTTTAAAGGTGACATATTCTCCTCCTCTTCAACCAGAGCTCCCCAAAACATGTGTGTGAAGTTTATTGTTCTAAATCCACTTTGATCCTGTATTTGATCATGTCTATAAACCCCTCTATTTCAGCTCTGCTCAGAACAGGCTGTTTCTGTGTCTGTACCTTTAAATATGTAAATGAGCTGTGTCTGACCACGCTCTCTCTCTGGAAGGGCTTGGGTGTCTCTGGCTTTCTCGCTCCATGCCCTATTGTTTACGGTGAGAATGCAGACTCAGAGGGCAGAACAAACACCTAGCTGTGGGAGTGTCACCCACCTGGGGGAGGGGTTACTGCCCTTTGTGATGTCATGAAGGGAAAATCTCAAAACGGCTTGTTTTGAGCACACAAGAGGAGCAGGCAAAAGACGGAGAGGATGGACTTTTCTCATCATTGGGGGGTTTGTAGACAGACTAGAGACACCTATTAGAGTTAGAGGAAGAAGTGGATTTTACAGAATATGTGACCTTTATCAGATCAGAGATAAAATGCATCTTTTGTTCATGTCAATACATGAAAGCTCTTATAAACACTAAATGACTTTAACCTGTTAAAAAGATTCAGATGTCTTTAATCAGAGTTCATTCTCACTGCGGTAACTCTACTTTGTCTCCCAGGTTCGTGGAATCAAAGGAGTCTTTCTGGCCAATCAAAAGGTCGACAGCAAAGTAACGACTCTCATCACCTACAACAAAGGAAGAGACTGGGAATTCTTAGCCCCGCCCAACACTGACATGAACGGGAAACCGGTCAGCTGCAAAGCGGTAAGCACTAACTATCGGCAGAAATTGGATGTGTTTTGAGCATGTGACTACATGGCTCCATGCACGCTTATGCACGTACAACAACTGCTTCTTGCTTTTCATCATAGACAATCAGTTTAGCTTAGATTGAATGATTTTCTAACTGTTTAACATTATAACTTTTTGTGGGACTGTTTCATTCAGTTAGGGAGTGTAAACAATGTGTTTGCTATTGTAGCTTTGGGCTAATTTAGCCTACCAGCTTGTGAATGTGTTAAGAGTTTTAGGTAACACTAACATTAGTGCGTATGGTGTAATTTAGCATCTGAGTATTGTAATGTACAGTACAGTAAAGTCAGCAGACACCGTTTGTTTGACATTTAGCAGACAGGGCAACAATTGGGTAGTGATGGGGTGGTCTCAATCCATGTCAAAGTCCAAAGTTGTTTGGCTTCATAAAACATCTTCAGAAACAAATGGGTGTGCCGCTGAGACTACGTCCATGTATTATTCACAACATGTCAGGGAAGCCGAGGGGGAAAGTCTTACAATTTGGCATAAATGTCTACTCACACTCATTTTCCATGTACAATCATGTTATGTTTTCTATTTCACAAACGGATGTGAAACGAGGTCAAAATACAAACTGTTCAAAACTTTTTTATTGATGAACTCTTGCAGTCATTTAAAGTGAACTACCAAAGCTGCAAACACAATTACAAGGCAACGTGTTCAAACTTTGTATCTGCAGACGCAATCTTTTACCAGCAACAATCCCTCAAATTTGGGGAACCTGTCCGATGGGTTGTTCAGAAAAGGAACACAAAGTTAAAGGATGAGGGATGAGTGTTGTACTTTGAGGAATGTGTGCGAGACGCCTGCCTAGCTCTTCCATTCGTCTTGTCAAAAGTTGCCGCTGCGGGTCGAGACGGCGAAAGAAGAGAAATGAGTCAGCCTCAGTCTGATATCCATACATCACCCGGCACAGGGAGCGAGAGAGAGAGTCTGATCCTTTATTTGAACCATCACTCCTGACAGCTGACGGGTTTTAAGGGAGACACGGCCATCAGCTCAAAACTTGTTTACCAACGCTGATACACACACGGCTGTTTTTCTCTCTCATATTGACCTCCTCATTCATACCTCAACATAACGACCTAAGAGAGAAGCTCATCTCACCTGGATTCACCTCTATCACTCAGAGAGAGACATTTTTGTTTCAAACACAGAGCTGCAGGTCACACAGGTAGAAGGAGGCAGATACTAGATGTGCTTTCTAATGTGTCAGGCTCAACACTGTCAGCTGTATCTGTTCATGCTCCTCAACACCTGACAGAGAGCAGTGGAGGGGTGACCTCCTGAGTGCACAGAAGCATTTCACCGTACTGAGCGCAAGAAGCCTGTTGCAGATTAATGACTTCATAAAGTGCTGCATAAATCAGACCAGCAGGTGGCTTTCCTTTAGAAAGAATCAACATGGCTGTGAAGAAATTAGGTTTAATCAGAGGCCGTTCATCCGTCAGTAAAAGTGAACTTTAATATCACTGGATCAGTTAATTCTGTTAATAAGGTGAGTTGCTGGTCTATTGGGTGATGTTTGTGTTTTAAACGCTGCAGTATAGTTGCACAAAAAATACATCAAAGGCAGTTGAAATCAGTTGCAATCAACTTGTGTGCTCAGCACATAGACTATAAATATTAATGGAAGAAGCCTGAGTGACGTCACCTGTCTGTTCCTGCAAGGGGCGCTGGAGTTCCATTGATGGCAGTCTCCATGCTGGAAATGCTGTCTCAGTCTAACTTTCAGTCAACCTAACCACAGACTGAGAGCTGCAGCTGAGGCGGGTTTTAAGCCTCCTGACAAACTGTTACACCGCGCCCGACTATCAATAATGTCAGCTACACGCCTTATTGTGAATAACTCTTATCCTATATCAAATCAAAACGGATGAGTCATAAAAAAAATTCAACCCCTGTACAGTTATTGCCGATCCATTCATGAGCTAATCAGACCTATTTTTTTTTTTTTGAACCAGGCTGTAAACATGTTCATGTCTGCTGTAAAAACAGGCTTTTTTGAATGGGTGTGTATGTGCCTTCTGGGGCTTCTGCAGCAAGCCTCTAGTGGACACTCGAGGAACTGCAGGATTTTGCGCTTCTGTATCGGCTTAATTTTTCAACACTGGAGGTTGCTGCTTTGTTCAGCGATGTATAATAACTGTCTTTGTCCGTGGAGTCTGGTGGCTTTGATCAGAGTGATGTAACATCTGTTTATAGTATTTTATTAAAAAGACGTTTTCTCTGCATTAAAATGATCACGCTCTGTTGGGATCTTTTCTATAATGATATCAGACACTTTAAATCCAAATCTGGAGCTATCAGTGATAACTGTTGTACCTATTAATCATATAGACCCCAAAATATGTTAAACCAGGGTCCAGCTCTACAATGAGTGTAATTCAAAAGGGTTTTTATGACAGGAAGTGAAGTATTATGCTTTGCAGAATACTTCATTTTCTTCAGCCAAGCCTATGAAAGCTTAGATCAAGATCTTCTTCTCCTCTCTTTCAGTCCAGTTTTATTCTTCCATTTGAAATGAAGTAGCTGCCGTTAGAGACACTTCCTCGTGTTACATTTGATTAACAGCACTGAATCCCATTACTGAGCTGTATTTGCAGCAGGATTATCAGGTTTCTGTGTGGTGAGACTCATTAAACATGACAGAGTGGGTGCCTTAAGTTCAGCCACCATCCCTATGAAGCGATACTCAAACTTAAACTTTCTTCAAACATCCTCTCGGTGGATCAGTGTGCAGACAGTGGGACAAAGACACTCTAATCCTCACATTCCTTTCCCCCTTCATGTTCCCGCTCTGCAGCCCGACTGTCACCTCCACCTCCACCTGCGTTGGGCCGACAACCCCTACGTGTCGGGGACGGTCCACACCAAAGACTCTGCTCCGGGTCTCATCATGGGTGCTGGTGAGTCTGTGTGACCTTCTCTCCACCTGACATTTATGAAGCAGACGCTGTGTGCATGGGCTGCTTGCACAAACAAGAATCAACTTTTAGACTTTAATGCACCTACCGTCAAAACTTCCAATTAAAGGCAGGGTTGGTAATTTCCTCCAGATCCAAGATTTTGAGTGAAATTATCTTTAGGTCCTGACAGACATTAATAACTCATGTGCTCTGAAAAAAGAATGAAGAAAATCTGTCATCTGTATCAGTTTGTAAGTCTGTAAAAACTTTGACCAATGTCTGTCACGAGGTACCAATCTGATGAACCAATCACACGCCTCCCTGTCTCCCTGCTCACTCTCTACCTCTTGTGTTCACTAGCCCACACTCAAAGCATGTCACTGATGACAGAGTTTATACTGTGAGTTTACTTATGGCTGAATGAGACATGAGACGACGTAGCTTCTACACAATGCAGGTGATGAGCTGAGGTCGTCTTCTGGAGCAAAGGCACCAATCACAGTTTAGGATTTTTTTGGGTGGCACCTGGAGTGGCCAATCAAATTTGTAGGGTGGCTCATGCCCCCTTCCCCCCTCCCTACTAGATACGCCCCTGAGTGTACTGTTACATTATTATTGCAACATGACAACATTTCGATCCCTCTGAACCTTTGTCAAATGTGACAAAGGTTCAAAGCAACCAAAACATTCAGATTTTTTTTCCTTTTTAGTATGAATCTAGGTCCTGTATTCACTTTAAATTAACACTTGAGGAGGTTCATCGTTGAAATTAGTCACTTTCTTTTGGATAGAAAGGTTAAAATCATTGTTTGTAACGACATACAAGAGACCGTATAAGCTGATGATAGTGTATGTGAAAGTGTTGGTGTGTAATCTGCACGTGTGTTCTTTTATATGTAAGCCTGACTGTGTGTGTGTGTCTGACTGTGTGTGTGTGTCTGACTGTGTGTGTGTGTGTCTGACTGTGTGTGTGTGTCTGACTGTGTGTGTGTGTCTGACTGTGTGTGTGTGTCTGTCTGTGTGTGTGTGTGTGTCTGACTGTGTGTGTGTGTGTCTGACTGTGTGTGTGTGTGTGTCTGACTGTGTGTGTGTGTGTCTGACTGTGTGTGTGTGTCTGACTGTGTGTGTGTGTCTGACTGTGTGTGTGTGTGTGTGTCTGACTGTGTGTGTGTGTGTGTGTCTGACTGAGTGTGTGTGTGTCTGACTGAGTGTGTGTGTGTCTGACTGTGTGTGTGTGTGTGTGTGTGTGTGTCTGACTGTGTGTGTGTGTGTGTGTCTGACTGTGTGTGTGTGTGTGTGTGTCTGACTGTGTGTGTGTGTGTGTGTGTGTGTGTGTGTCTGACTGAGTGTGTGTGTGTCTGACTGTGTGTGTGTGTGTGTGTCTCATGTGGTTTGGTTTTTGCGTCTCCTCTACAATAACTCTCCGTTATATGCAAAATGTTTGTATGAGCGAGCTAAACAAGTGGCCCTCCTCCAGAGACAGTCCTCCATTTACCCCCCAGAAGAGCTCTGACAGGAGTGTTCGCTGCGTCTGTGTGCTGCTGGAGTATAAAAACCACATCTCTTCATGCCTGAGCACTCCGACACACAGAGGAATCCACTGAACCAACAGTGATTTTACTTATTGAATACTTCACCGTGTTTGTTCGTGAGCAGGGAGATATCGAGGTCATGCTTTTCATGCCTCTGTGGAAGCATGTTTCTGCTCGGAGAAAGACAGAAAGAAAGAAAACTGAGAAATGTCAGGAGACATCAGGGCAAGAATAAATAACACATACTCAAAAATAACGTTTCTGTTAAAGGTAAATTAAACCAAAATGATACGTTTTTATTAACGAGGCTACAAACTTCTGAGGTTGAAATGACATTGTGCTTATTTTGGTTCAGGCATTATAAATGTGTCACTAAAAGCCTGTGAGAGGGGGCAGAGTTTGAAACCTTTGTGTCTTTAAACAGAAAGAATTAAGTCAAATGCTGCCTTCATGTGCTCCTTTGGAATATTTTGTTTGTTATTTTTTTGAGATATGAGCACATGAACGCCTCTGCGTAATTACCAGTGCTGATTCTAGAGTATGTTGGGGCCTATAGCAAAATCAATTGGGGGGCCCTCCAACCAGCGTTCATCACCATCATTCCTGCCAGTGTCCCGATGTTTAACTCTCATACTATTTTATCCTGTAGGCCTATATTTTTTGGATTCCTATAGACAGATTCATTTTTCTTTGTTGACTTCCATTGATGAACTTTGGTTTTCACAGCAATCATGCACCCAACGATTAGCAGGGCAACGAGAGTGCTGTCAGATGGGGCCTCCTTAGGGAGGTTTCCTACTGTCATTGCAACATTTCCACATTTTGGGTGGCTGCTTTGGTTTAAGTTTGTGAGCCCTCTGGGGCCCCCTATAGGTCTGGGGCCCCAAGCAGTTGCCTGCCTTGTCTGTTGACAAGCAGCACCTCTGGTAATTACGAGTGGGAAATTTTGATGATACCAGAGTTGCCGAGTTGTGATGTTTGCTCAACGTTTCAGGGCATCAAAAAATGGCAGCAATATTAAAAACAGTGTGAACAACTGACAGTAAGGCCTCTGCATGTTTCTAATAAACTCCACGAGCAGGAACGTGCTCAAACTAGGATCAATATTGGAGATGCTTTTGAAAAATGGAGAGAGGTTAGAACACAGAAAGGTTTACAGACCCATGCAGAGCTGGATAAACACTGAAGCTTCAGTGTCCACCACATGGTGACCTGAATGAGCACCGACTCTAGAGAGGAGGGGGCGGGGGGAGACAGCTCTCTAATGTTTTAAATGTGGACTGCAGTACCTATTTTAAACACTAGGTGTCAGAGTTACATATTGCTCATTTAAACTTGTTGTCATAGACTTTACTTCTTTACTGTTTCAGGCTCAAAAAAAGTTCTCTGTTAGATGTAATATTGTGGTAGTGATTAGGGAGAGGGGAAGAAAGTAAAGTGATAAATAATTAAAGGAGCAAATTCTTGAACCTGCTGAACTTCTCTGTGTTCACTTCTCTACTCTCCAGTCTCCTCACATCTGTCGTCTCTGAGCCCTTCCTTCTCTTTGAATCTGTTCTTGTTGTTATTGTTTGTTCACGCCTCACAAGAGCCTCCCTGCCTGATGAAACTTTTAACTCCTTGCCTGTACTTCAGGTAACCTTGGCTCCAAGCTGGTCGAGTATAAGGAAGAGATGTACGTCACCTCGGACTGCGGGAAGACGTGGAAACAGGTACATCATGTGATCCATGTGCTTCTTCTTAAAATTCAACTCCTGACCTTCTCCACACACTCTCATTAAAGTTTTATCCGTCCAGTTTTCTTATTTCTAGCTTGTTCAATTTTACATGTGACTTTTCAGGAACACCTTTATCTGATTTCTCAACTTTTCTTTAAAAATATTTTTATTTACTTCTGTCAAGGTATTCGAGGAGGAGCACCACATCCTGTACCTGGACCACGGTGGGGTCATTGTGGCCATAAAGGACACCTCCATCCCCCTGAAGATACTCAAGTAAGATTTCTGTAAAGTCATCATGTCAGTAGAAGTGTGAAAGTAAATGAGCTGTGTCTGACCCTCTCTGGAAGGGCTTTGGTGGCTCTGGCTTTCTCGCTTGATGCCCTATTGTTTACGGTGAGAAGGCAGACTCAGAGGGCAGAACAAACACCTAGCTGTGGGAGTGTCACCCACCTGGGGGAGGGGTTACTGCCCTGTGTGATTTCATGAAGGGAAAATTTCCAAACGGCCACATTTTTTAGCAAAATGACCCATTAAAGCCATTAAAATATTCCTTCATCATCTCCACATCAGCTGTTCTGTATAATTTTACAGCAGAGTAAAGGATCAGTAAGCTCCCCTCTTTAGCACTGTACCCTTTAAAATCATGAAAGATCGTCTCCCTCTCTCCTCACAGCTCAAGCGGACTATTTCAAGCTCAGCACGATGTTATCTCATCGACCTTAATAAATAAGGGTGAAATAATGAGAAACCGCTGATAAGGGAGCTAGTCAGAAAAACATTTATCACACACCCAAATCAGATGACCTTTCAGACGGGCGCTCATTCGTCTCTAGGTGAGAGACCGCAGAGTGTTGTCCTTTTTTTCACTCCTTCCTGCCTCGGATAAATCAATAACCCCCAAAGGCTCTCAAAGCACCACAGTGGGAAACTCTGCCGTGAAAGTATGAGCTCAGATTTTAACACTTCATTAAGCAAAATGACCGTAATGTTTTCACCTCATCAGGTGCTGAGATTCCTGGCTTATAAAACTCTCTTTTGGAACCAGAAACTTTCCTCTTATTGGAGTTGCATGACCCCCAATAACTCTCTCTTTCTCTAAACTGTGCTGTAATAGAGAACAGATTTCAGCTGTGAAGACAAAAAAAAGCGTAGTTCTCAAGCCAAGGCGCTTATGACAGGAAAGAGATGTTAGTCCAACATTGTGCACACTGGTTTATGACTTCTCCAGAGCTTGTGTCTTCAGGACGCCTTTGCTAAATAGCTGCTGTAATCGTCTTTACTGTTAATCTGCGACTCCGTTGTTGTGCTGGCCGCCTGTTCTTTGTCGAAGGTTATTTTAGTGTTTGAATTCAAACTGGTGTCCAACAGATCATTAAAAGACCATTTAGTAGCCATTAGAAGTTGTAATCCTTTCTCTAAGTCAATCCCAATATTTATGATTTATGGTCAGAGAATTAACAAAACTGAGAACCGTCCAAGGACCTTAAACTCTGGATTCAATGTGTGGCCTTTGCTGTGTGGTGTTTTGATTATTTGTACTCACAAAATACACTTTTTTCCAACACTCATATGTGTCCCTAGTCCGCCTACAAACCACCCATTATTCTATTTTTCAAAGTTTGGAAACTTTTGACAAACTTCCTGCCTGTTCACACTTAAAAACACAACCCAGAGAGTTTTCAAGGTGTTGGTTTTATAGATTCTTAATGTGCAGTCATACAACGCAAATGTTGTGCTTTTAAAGGCAGGGTTGGTCATTTTCTCCAGATGCACTTTTTAACATTTTGTTGAAATTGTCTTTAGGTCCTGAAATTAATAACCCATATGCTCTGAAAAAGTAACAAAGAAAATCTGTCATCTGTAGCAGTTGTAAGCCTGTAAAAACTTCGACCAATGTCTGCCACGAGGTACCAATCTGATGAACCAATCATGAACCTCCCTATCTCCCTGCTCGTTCTCAACTCCATGCATGCATGAGCCCACACTCAAAGCATGACCTTAGGGCTGCTTCTGGACCAACGGCACTGGTGCATAAAAGTGAGGGGCGTGGCTTCTGAGGGAGCACAGAGGGGAGGGGGTGGGTGCAGACGAAGCACTGAGGGAATGCTACTTTCAAAATCATGCTAGTTTTCGAAAATTACCAACCCTGTCTTTAAATCAGAATGATATTGTTGTGGATTTAGACTAACATGCTTTAATGGGGCACTGGTGTAGGTACCAGATCTGCTTGGTTCCTTCGGCTCCTGCTCGTGACATTACACAATATGATTGACTGTATGTTTGTATGATGATGTAGCACGTCGTGATTGGCTGTTTGTTGGAGAGTTCATGCGGAGTTCATGAGGTCTTTGGACGGAGAATGTAGATGAACACTTTGAATCTATGGAGAATTTTTACCAGGAATTACAAGAGAAGGTCCCAAAAAATAACTTTAACTTTCACTTCAGCAGACTTAAAAATCCAACCCATGGAAGTCTACCCAGATCTTGTGAAGAGCTTTTAAATGAGTTTGCATGGCTGAGTTTTATGCCCCAGACAGAAATAAGCTGAGTTGACAAAAAAAAGGGGGGAGGGAGCAAGAAAATTACATCAATAGGGAGAAAGAGAACAAGGACATGGTGGTACATAGCAAGAGAGGAGTCAAGTCAGTACTTGTCTCGGTTAAGAATACTTCTTTACCTTAAATGCTTCTTCACTTAGTCTCAAAATTAAGATCTGTGACACTCCAAAAACTCTCTCCACATCCTACAAACGTCTTCCTCCCTGACTCCGCCGTGCCTTTGTCTCTTCCTAATAATTACACCATGTCTCCATGCGTCGAAACGCTATCTACAACTCTGTGCATCAAATCTGACGGCCCCTTGAAAAACAGAGCAACTTGACTTTTGACAAATGTTCATGTACTCTCACACACACACACACACACACACACACACACACACACACACACACACACACACACACACACACACACACACACACACTCACACACACACTCACACACACTCAAATCATTCCTCAGCTCTTCTCCTTCGAATCACTCAAAGTCAGAGGAGTGATTTTACCCCGGGTAACTCACACAATGCATCCATATCAGTTAATTAAGAAAAGCTAGCAGGCTGAGAAATGAGATGCCACCGCGCCGCGCCGCTTGGACAGGATGTTATGTACATATATGATTTATAATTGTTTTAGGTTTCCTCGTGGCGCTGCAGGAGTGGAGTAAAGGCTGATGTGTGGCACGGAGCATAATTATAACTCTGGCCTGCTAATCTATTTGATTACAGGGTTATCGCTCCATCCATTTCTAATAACTCTGCGGGTATTAGCTGCAGGAAATGAGATATACATGTACGTAATTGGATGGGTGACTGAGGAGGACGTCTGCATGTAGGAGGCTATCGTCGTCCAGCTGATGCTTTAAGGAAGGACAGGCTGGTTTGAATACTCAAGAGACTCTAAAAGTCAATATTCTTCTGAAAAACTGTTTGGACAAGTGTCATGGCGGATCATCCCCAAGTGCAAATATCCGTCAGTATCTGCACCTCATGACCATAGTTTCCTGGTGGCTCCCTCCACTTTTCTGCCCTCTTTTCAAGAACTTTGTGTAAAATGTCTTTGTAGTCTCATCATGATAACTTATCAACACCATCATCAGACGAGCCTGTTCTCATTCCCAATTCAGTCTGTGTCCAATGCAGATGCTCCAGATACCCCTCAGTGTCTGAATGACATGTACCGGACTTTCAGCTGACTTTATTGTACGTTTTTTAAGAGTACTTTTTGGGCGTGTTTTTGCCCTTCATTAAAGGGACAGAAGAAGAGAGGCAGGAGTTGTGGGGAGGAGGCAGACATGCATCCAAGGGATGAAGCCAGGAGAGGAACCTGCAGCTGTTAGGATGAGAACTGTAGTCTCAGTGTCTGGGTGTTTGTAACACAAATTATAAACAACTGGAGACACGCCAATGCATTTAGTCTGTTTCGCTCTCAACATTCAACGTTTTTGAGCAAGTCACCAAAGCCCGCTCGAATTAGATTAGATTTAAAACTACAGGATCTGCAAAGTACAGACTGTAAGATAAGATACCATTTAGATACACTTATGTAAAGGGTACCTTGAAACTGCAGCTACACAACCTTGTGCATCCATATTGAATTCCGAAGTAGGGCCATGACAAAAGGAGAACACCTTGATCCCATGGTCTCTTAGATTGGTTTCTTGTTGGTTTACTTGGTGATTCAGGCAAAGACGAAGCTTGTAATGAAGAATTAGTAAAGAGAGCTGAAGTGATGTTCCAAACCTCTTCTACGATCACGCCTCAGTACACCTGGCCAAGTGCTACTATTATTTTGGAAAACTTTCCAAACTGTCAAAACACGTTCCCCTCTGATTCTGCCTTTTGGAGTGGAGATTGAAGAAGCTGTTACACAATCCGACAGCGATTTTCTTTGAAGTGCGCTGAAACCTTTATCACAGCACAGAGAGTCTTGGTGCATCCTTTTCTGTTCCCATGTAGCTGTTTGTTTACCTGCTGATTATCAAATTGTAGTCCTTGTTAGCACATCATTATCCCACACAGCCTGCAGCGAAGACAACACACTGCTCGATTCCACATTGATCCCCCTCCATCACACAGTCACTTTTGCTCTGCATTGCTGCCGCTGTTGACTGCAGGAGTCGTCAGCGCAGAGAATAAAGCGGAGCAGATGGCTCGTTTTGTCTGACTTTAACAAACAAACACAAACACCATACAAAAAAAATATCCCATTACAAGTGTTCAAGAGCAAAACATATCTATAACTGCTCCCAAAGTTTCTTCATCTGGTACAGATAAGCCACGCTCCAACTGATGTTTGACCAATATTTATTCTTTTCCTTTTGTCAGCAAACACCGTGAAAAACTAAAATGAAGTAAATAAAGACACAAGCATTTATGAGCACGGATGACTATACAAAAGCTAAACAAAATGTCCTTTACAAATAAAAATACAATTACATACCGTGTGCGCCTTCTAACCAGAAATGTTTAGGCTTTGCAGTCTTTTAAAGTTCTTCACAGACGCGTCTCCTTCATCTGTGTCCTACCGTTGGTACTAGCGTCTGGCAGCATGTTTTTATTGCTCCAATTAAACATGTGAACACTGCATGCTGAACACTCAGCGCAATACACAATTAGACCAGTAGGTGTCAGTAACAGAGCATAGAATCTGAACACATTTCAAAATAAAACATTTTCTCTGTAATTACAACAAATCCTGTTCAAAGAAATATAATGTTCTGCGACAGCTACAATATCTGTTGGGTGTAAACACATTTCCAGAAACTGTGACTTGATAACTCGATTTTTTTTCTTTTGAAACACAGCACTCAAAACTGGTTCCTTTCACTAAAACAACACACTGTTTCTCCACAGGTTTAGCATCGATGAAGGACGGACGTGGACCGTGCACAACTTCACCAGTACCTCTGTTTTCGTTGACGGACTCCTAAGTGAGCCGGGAGATGAGACCTTGGTTATGACGTGAGTAAAACACAAACTCAGCAGAAGAAATTCCTCTTTCAGAGCTACCAAATCATCATAAAGGCTTATGTATGTTTCCTTTATGTGTGGAAAAAGATATGTGTGTTTTAAAGGATATAACCATCACTACCCATCCCTTTACGTTGGGATGGACGTTTAACAATGCATCCCCTAGAGGGCGCTGTCCGTACGGATCTCCACTTCTTCATCGCTGACACAGCTGACATTCAGTTCCCGTCTGATCTCCACCTGGCTGTTCTGTCGTCGATGTTCGGCCCTGTGCCCGGGGAGGTTACATCAAATATATATTTATAATTTCTTATCAATTTGCACAATATTTCCTCAAAAGGTTCAGCTGTTTTCCTTCGCTGGTCTGGCTTGCACTTTTGGCTACACTGCTCGACACTGCCACCAGGATATCAGTGGTTTTGCAGCGTTTGGTCTGTAACAGCAAGCTTCTGGATAACCTGCAGAAATCTTGACAAAATGAGTACAGACAGAATGATGTATGCATGTCGGACATTGAGCAGAATTGAGCCTTGACAATACTATCTAAATAAGCAAAGTTAAATGGTTAAAAGGTTAAAGGTCTAAAGACTTAAAATCCCCACAAACACCTGAAATCTAAGCCTACAGTGTCTAAAATCAAGAAAGACCTTCACTCCTCTGTCACACTCTTGGTTTGGGTGACTTGTCTAAGAGGGTTGTCTAAGATAAGTACACAACTCCCAAGAGAACTTTCTCTCCCATCACAACAATTCTCTCTCCATCCGTTGGAGCGGGACGCCCCAATTTTGAGGCACTTAAAGCAGCTACCCTCACTCCTGATTTCCTGCAAAGCCGTCCTCTCACTTCACCTCAGGAGGGTTTGATTGCCGTCGCAGCAGAGGCTGATGGGAGAGGAGGACAGTATCTGCCCTCTGCCCTCCACTCCTCTCTGGCTTTTCTCCACTCTGACATTTTTATTTTAATCTCTGCGTTACTGTCTAGCTTTCTATCTTTGTTTGTCTTTTAGCCGGGCTCCTTGTCTGTCTTCAGGAGGCTCTTTATGGTTTTGGTTCTTTTATCAATACTCAGACATGACTTCGACACAGGCTTGTCTGCTTTAACACATTTTGATGTGTTGCACGTTGTCAGATTGATTAAATATAGTCCAGAGATGTTCAGTGACAGCTTGGCTTTTGGCTTTGTTATTTCAGTTTGTCACTCTGTCAATTCCGTTCAATCCAGAGTGAAATATCATGACAACAGAAATTATTGATTCAAAGTTTGTTCGCCCCGGAAAATTACAATGCAATACAACCACATTTTGTTTATTTTTATTAAACATTTATTTAACCAGAACATTAACACATTGAGATCCAGATCTCTTTCACCAGGGTGACCTGACCTGACTGAAGAGGTAGTCTTGTAGTCAAGACCACGACATGCTCCAAGACCGAGACAAGACCAAGACATTTAGGGACAGGGACAGAGTCAAAACCAAGACCAAGGCAGGGTGAGACTGAGACAAGACCAAGACCTGAAATATCACAGAAAAATCATCTTGTTCGCAGCAGGCGTGTCACTCACATAGACCGTATCATCGGGAAGGTTGCAGCCGTAGCCAGGGGTTAAAAATCGAAATATCGATGAATTAAAGTTATTTCTTCTTTTAGTAAAAGGTGTTTTCCTTCTTAACAGGTCTTGATTTAAAATCTGAAGTCTGACCAGTCTGAGGCCGACACAAGACGTAGTAGAAATGCTTTTGATTCCCAGACGAACCTGAGACCTTCTAAAAGTGGTCTTGAGAACTATGTTACAACTAGACCCATTTTTTTTACAACTAGACCCATTTTGAGTACTACAACACTTTACCAAGAGGGCAGCAGCCGCACACGTCATCGTAAACATTACATGATTAAGAAACCCTTCACGAACAATAAGTTAAGAGCAACAACAATTGAAATGTGCAAATTGGTTTGCAGATAAAAGGACAAAAGTTGTGTACATGGATTACAAATTAAAAACACATCAGGCACTGTCCAATGGTCTCATGTTGTTTGTCTTTTAAGATCGAGCCAAATGCTTCTAGTGAAAGTTTCTGCCAGTTTCAGGTCATTCTGGAGACAGTTCCCTGCGGAGGGAGCAGCAAAACTAAACGCTCTTATCACAAGCTCAGTGGGGACACGAGGAATACACAGGTTAAAAAAAACATCACAGGAACACAATGCATAGTGGCTCCTGGATCTCTGGAGGTCTGAACATAAATAAAAGAGGACTAAACCAAGAAGAGCTTCAGAAAGAAGACTCAGCCGGTGTATGAACCTGCATACCTTCAAGGATGGCCAATCAGTGTACAAGTCACAGTGATGACTAAGGCACCTACAACCAGTCACAAATCTCAATGATGTCACAGTGATACATGGTGTCCAATGACTGTAAACATCTGGCTGAGGCGCATGTTTACAGTACAGCACATCTCCATAATCCAAGAAAAGCAAAAAAAAGGTTGATGAGACATGGCTGTATATACGTTACAAATGATGAAATAAAAGAGCTGATTTTATAAAATCAGAATATGTAGGGACTGAAAAGCTAAGATTTAAATTCCTTAAGTGGCTCCTGTGTTAACACATTTAAATTCAGGTGATACCAGATCTAAAATGTTCTTATTCCCCTTATATTGGTTTATATGTAATGATGGCAGAGTGTGATTTTGAAGGTGTAATCAGAAGAGCTATACGTCCAATGGTTGTAGATTTATCATTATAATTATCTCTCGTATTAACATGAGATGCTTTTTTGTCACTCCATTTCTTGTGGAGCAAATTTCTTAATCCTGACGATTGTTTGGTGCGAAACTTGTTCTGAATATTGAACATTGTGACAAAGTTGTCGGGCCATCAGCGGCCTCCAAAAGTTGATAGAGGCTTCAAGAGTTCTTATCTCAAAGGAATGTAGTCTCTCCCTCTGTCTCTTTGCAATCTTTCCATCAGTAAGTTAGCCGCAGTGAGACTTGTCGCATCATCTCAGACTCCAGCTTTGGCCCAGAGATAAGGCCAGCTTCCAGCTGTAATCCGCTGAGAAGGGCAAAGAGATGGTCAAACACACACACACACAAACACACACACACACAAACACACACACACACACACACACACACACACACACACACACACACATGCAGTCAAGGCTTCAAGACTCAGAGTCACTTGCCATTATCTGCCATGTGTCAGACACACACTCTCTGGTTTGACACAAACACACACACACACACACACACACACACACACACACACACACACACACACACAGCGAATATACGGCAGCCCTTCCTGCTCCGCACAGATAGGGTCGTCGGCCAAGGAGGAGTGTTGAGGGCAGCTCGTGTCTGACAGATTAGCCAGGGTCTATTTCCTTGCCACTGAGTTTCGATTTTTGACGGCGCAGCCTGCCATCCCGTAATGAAGTCTTTGAGCAGTGACTTAGCACCAAGGACAGGTGGGGGAGCCGTCATTCAGCGCCAACATTTGAGTAGAAATGACTTGCAAACACCTTCTAAGCTATGTGTTTAAATGAGGAAAACAGAAGAAGCACATTCTGCGCTGCTAATGAATGTTGTTTTCTCTTCACTCAGCCGATTGGAGTGATTGTTTGTCCACTAATAGAGCTCTTAAAGCTCTGGAGTGGCTATTCAGACCTAGAAAACAGTGCCAAATTAAGTCTGAGGCTGCAGGGATTTAATGCACACACAAAGCAGAAGGGTTGATTGTGACTCAGCATAATAGTGTGCATCCCATGGACCAGGTTATAAAGAGTTTAAATTGCCAAATTACAAGGATCATGTTAAGAACTGCCTTAAAACCCCTGCCAGATTTTGGAGGTTTAAAAATATGGTCACCCTATGTTATGTACGTAGTGTGTTAAAAGGTGTTTGGTTCCATTCAATCTATGAGCAAGTTTCATTCACACCAAAAACATAGAAAGACCAACTTGCAGCTGTTAGGACTTTAAGCCCAGCTTTTTTTTTCTAGTCAGCAGATGGTAAAAATATTGCGACTCCATTTCTAGGTCTGATAAACAATTGCAGTCTCTTTGACTTTAAAGTGTTTTTCATCAGGTTTTGTTGTTGTAATACTTGTTTGCACCACAAGAGGCTTAGGTGCGCCACAACCTCAAGTTCTAGTATTAAAAGAAGTCATGTTATTGAAGTTATTTGAATTGTAGTAGATTTCAAAATTATTTCCAGTGCAGGCATGATGCTCCTGGAGTTAAAAAAGTGTTTTCTCCAGTGAAAAAGAAATCCCTTCAGCACTTCAAATTTCCTTTAAGTGATGAATACATTTCTCTCAAGTTGTAATTCTTTGAAGGTTGTCTTTTAGGGACCTAAAAATCTTAACCTAAAAATAGTTTTGGTTATTTAATTCATTTTTCCATTATTATATTAAAAAGTTCATGTTTCCAAATTAATTAGACATCTCTGGGCAAAATATAATGAAGCTGCTGAGTGCCAACAGGACCTGCTGGATGCATAACATTGTGCGTAAAGTCATTTCTCGGAACCAAAAATGTTGATTTTACCCCAAATAATTAGCGAATTAAATCAATTTGGCCGCAGCTGGTGTGAAAAATGTGACTATTGGAAATTTGAGTGAACTCACCCTCATAGCAAAATGCCTGAAAAGGTCAAGATCAGAAGTACAAGAAACTAAAGGTAGAGATGAGAGACAAACAGAGTGGAGAGCAGCAGACAGTCCCTCCCAGATGAACACAGGTAAAAGGAGGAGAGGTTGACACATCAGTGTTTGTGATTCAACAGCAGAAAACATCCATCAGTTCCCCTTAGCGACGTCGGTGAGGACGCCATTAGTCATGCTCGCCTTGCACTCCAACGAGATGACAAAAGCAGCCATCGGCACGGCAACATGTGTCGGAGTCCCTGACTTGTGTCACATCAGTCTGCTTCAAAAAAATACTCTGACAGACACAAAAGGGAGAAACAGCAGCGTTCAGGAAAGGGAATGGTAGACATTTTAAGTTTTGAGCTGTACCACACCGCCCTCTAGTGGTGGGGAGAGGAAACTGCAGCTAACAGACGTTTTAAAGGCTTTTCATGATTGATATATATTTTATCCTCATAGTGGAGTTATAATCCACATTTGATGCAGAAAGAGAGTCGGGATAAAGATTGCATACTGGTGTGACTTACCATTGTAAAGTGGCCTTGAGTTCCTTGAAAGGCGATATATAAATACAAGTTATTATTATTATTATTACATATTAAAGATTTGATGGTAATGTTTGAAGGCTTTCTAACTGTGTACCTGTGATTTGTGTTCACAGTGTGTTCGGCCACATCAGCTACAGGTCAGACTGGGAGTTGGTCAAGGTGGACTTCAGGCAGTCTTTTCCCCGTCAGTGTACGGAGGCTGACTACGACTCCTGGCAGCTCACAGACCTGCAGGTAACACACAAACACACAGACACCTAAAGTGTAAATACAAATACTTACTGTGCTCGTGTGAATGAATCTGCAACCAGAATTCTTTCCTTTCCACGGTCACTCTTAGGGAGAGAAGTGCATTATGGGCCAGGAGCGGAGTTTCAGAAAAAGGAAGGACACGGCGTTCTGTATCAAAGGGAAAAGCTACACGTCGACTCTGACCTCTAAACCCTGTCAATGCACGGAGAAAGACTTCAACTGGTGGGGACTGACTGCACAGATATAAAGAAAATACTTCTTCCATCCTATTACCCAAGATTATTGTTGTTATAATAATATTGCTCTGTGTGTGTAGTGACTATGGTTTTGAACGGTCCCAAATGGAGGGCAAACGCTGCTTCGCTGACTTCTGGCATGATCCAGATTCACCACCTGAAGACTGCCATCTAAGACAAACCTACGAGTCCAGCACTGGGTCTGTACATGTACACTTAACCTCCGATATACAGAGAAAATAAGTTGCATATTTTCTGGAAACATCTGAAAAAAGCATTTTCATTTTCTATTCAGCAGTAGGAACAGAAAGTGGGTTTCATTTGGGGACAAGATTTTACCGAGCTTAGTGATAGAGTGACAGCAGGGGTGGGGGGGGGGCTAGCTGTTTCCCCTGGTTTCCATTCTTAATGCTAAACCAACCGCCTCCTGTTGCCAGCTCCTTAAACAAAGTTATCTTTTCTTGAGTTTGGAAAAAGTCAGACAAGCTGTTCCTGCTTCAATCCTCATGCTAAGCTAACCAGCTCTGTCTGTGAAGTTATCTGTTCATGCCTGTTTTCTCAATGGAGGGGACGAGCTAACATCTCTGGTGGCTCATATATTCACGAACACCTCATACAACCCCACTTCAAAAGTACCAGATTATCCCTTTAATGTAACCTTTCAAACTTAAGTCCCAGCTAGCCTAGCTGCTTCACCCTGCCTCCAGTCTTGATGCTAAGCTAACTGCCTCCTTTGGCTAACTGCTGCTCTTTCTTAAAATTTTCAAGCTATGTTGAATATACTTTTTATTTTTATTTTGGTCACGCTAGCTATTTCCTCTACTTCCAGACTTGTTGCTAAGCTAACTACCTCCTATTACCAACTTCATCTTCATCAAATAAATATAAATTAGTATTTTTTTTCGTCCAAAAATCCCCTTCCTGACACACCTGCATTGTGTTCGTCCGTCTTCCAGCTACAGGAAGGTGATATCCAACACGTGTGAAGGTGGGGTGAACAAGGAGCAGAGTGCCAAGCAGCACAACTGTCCTCTGCTGCCCCCTAAAGGACTGCAGGTCGGCATCAAAGGGCAGATGTTGGCCGTGGCACCTGGTGATGACATCACATTTATCGTCCACCAGGAACAGGTAGGCATGAAGTTGTTTTGTCATTAATTGTCTTAGTTTACTTCCTTCCATTTTATTTGGGCTGAAAGTCCTGATTTCATTCTGACAGGGAGACACCAGCAGCACCAAATACCAGGTGGACCTCGGCGACGGGGTCCGGGCCATCTACCAGAACCTTACAGTGACGGACGAGCCCATCCAGCATCGCTACGAACAGCCAGGAGTTTACAAAGTTACAGTGATGGCTGAGAACATGGCGGGGCACGACGAGGCCACCATGTACATCCAGGTCACAGGTCAGCCCCCCAGATTGTTACAAATGTTTGGCTCTATTATGAAACAACTATGGTCGTGTATTTGTTTTTTAAAGGTAGTAGTGTTCTCTCCCGGGTAGCTCTTATCTCTTTATTCAAGTCAATTACAAAAATAAACATCAACTTTGTTAGGTTAGTGACGATCCTCACACTGTTTGTGCAGCACACAATAATGCTAGAAAGCCTGCTGAGTGGGCCAACTTGGACAAGCAACTGTAGTATTTCAGCAGGGTAAAAATTAGCCATGTTCCTAGGCAACTACTTTCCTTGTCGGATAAACAGAACTTTTGATGAAGACTTACCATCAAGTCTAAATGTAAGAAAACACTCATAAGACAGTTAAAATCGAGTGCAATGTATCTCAAAATATTTGGGGGTAAACAATCTAATTTAGCATTGCTAACATCACTAGGCTTCTGTCCTCTCTGCAGCTTATCATCCACATGCCCGTGCTAAATGTGGTTACATTATGCTCCAGCCGATATTCCAGTTTAACCTGACACAGCCTACATACCTTTAAACCAAAATTTTCTGAACTGCGCTGCTTTTGTGAGCTTCTTTCTGTTCACTGTACTTGTTAACATCCAGGTTGTGGAGCGAGGAGAGCAGGCTCATTAATCAGATGAAGCCTACTTATAAAAATATGAATATCAAAAACAAACTTGTGCTGTTCGGTCAACTGAACGCCCACATAGGGGAAGTACGTTGATTTGGCACATTTGCGCCAATGTTTTTGTTCTTTGTATGATTTTGAACTGGTAGGTGTTTCTCTGTTCAAAACAGCAAAAAAGGAGCACTACTAAACCGTATTATAAGTTTTCAGGTGCACGACCGCAACAAGACTAAAAGTCAGAACACTAAATGTTCTTCAAAGTGTGTTTTATCTGGCTAAAGCAGCAGCGTACAGATCAACAACGGACATGTTTCAGCACGGGGCCTTGAATGCTGATGAAGGCCTTGTGCTGAAACACGTCTGTTTCTGATTATTTACTTTCCTGTCCTGTTGGTCGTATCATATCGTACCTTTCATCACTATGTTGTGTTGTTAACAGTGTTGATTCTAGAGTCTGTTGGGGCCCTGGGCAAAAATCAATTGGGGGCCCCTCGGACCAGCGTTCTTAACCATCATGTCCACCAGTGTCCCAACGCTTACTCCTCTTCCTCTTTCCTTTTTCCTTTTTTTTCTCTCCCATAGACCGATAGTTCCTCTTCATTTTTCTTTGTTGACTTTCATTAACAAACTTTGGTTTTTACAGCAACGATGCATGCATTACTTAGCAGGTCAACGATGTTCCCACTTTGAGCCACTGCTTTGATTTAAAGTCTGTGAGCCCTCAGGGGCCCCCTACTGGTCTGGGGCCCCAAGCAGTTGCCTGCCTTGCCTGTTGATAAGCGACACATCTTGTTGTTAAAAACAGGATCAGGTTTCAAACTACAGCAGTTACCTTTAAGATCCAACTTCGGTTTTAAATCTTGGGATTTAAATGAATATTGACAAGTATGTTAAAATCTTTCCAAACGCTCCTGTGGGCAGTTTTGATCAATAATACACAACGCTAATTAACGATTTGTGCATCAGAAACATTTGTAATACCACAGGGAAGAAGAGTAATATGTTGACAAGAATGAAAACGATTAAGCTCCTTATTCTAAAGGGCTTATTTATGTGTTATTCAAAGATGTTTTCTCTCTTTTTTTCGGTACCAGCAGCTGAACTGAAGGTATGCATCGAACCAGGGAGACGTTGTCAACATCCTGGTTATTAAGCATTAACCACCATTTTAGCAAAATAATGCATTGTGACATAATCAAGTCAAATCTTCAGGAATTTAAGTATCAGGTTATTCCAGTTCTGTGTCTCTGATTCTCTGCACTCAGACATGACACGTCGGAAACCTGCACACTCTGCATTTGACCCGTTTTCTTTTTTCAAGGCCTTAAAGAAGTGAAAAATGATGAAAACATCTTTTCGCAGCCGCTTCAATCTCCTCTGATATGTCTGGTTTTCTCAAACGCTCACCCCTTGCTTTGAATCTCACTTCATATTTTATTTTCCAGGTAAAAATACTTCCCTGCTGCAGACGGGAGTCTGAGGCTTCAACGTTATCAAGGAAGACAAATCTATTGTGTTTCTGTCGCAGGGGATTTGAGGATCTTCTTTGTTTTGTTTAGTCTTCTACCTTTTCATGGCTCTGCCTCTGTTCAGGTTTAAAACTCTCAGAGCTGCTTCTTTTTGAGATATAGAGCTGATCATGAAGACTCTAGATGGAGATTTACTAAGACCACCTCCTTTTTTAAAATCACGATTCAATGAGGTTTTGCCGAAGATGTTCTTTTTTGGCTTTCTTGTGTAGAAATCGACTTTATTTCAGAGCCTTTACCAGTAATCAGTTTGATACCAATGTTACTTTTTATATCTTACAGTATAATTTTCTTTTCTTTTGTTGCAGCCCCACTGCAGGAGGTTCACTTGGAGGTGGTTCCCATCGCCAGGAGAAACCAGCAGGTGAATCTGACAGCCATAGTTCTTCCTACTGAAGCCAACATGACCGTCTTCTACTGGTGGATAGGAAACAACCTGCAGGTAAAGGACACACTAAGTTACATTAGTTTGTCTTTGCGGGGTGGAAAAACAAGCTGAATAAGTCTAAACCAGTTTCAATAAGTGTCAGAGCTCCTCAAAACATGTGTGTGAAGTTTCTTGTTCTAAATCCACTCTGATCCTGTATTTGATCATGTCTATAAACCCCTCTATTTCAGCTCTGCTCAGAACAGACTGTTTCTGTGTCTGTACCTTTAAATATGTAAATGAGCTGTGTCTGACCACGCCCCCTCTCTGGAAGGGCTTGGGTGTCTCAGGCTTTCTCGCTCCATGTCCTATTGTTTACGGTGAGAAGGCAGACTCAGAAGGCAGTGGATTAATTAGTTCACCTCTTTGCTTTGCTTTGGTCTCCATCAACTTGAGGAAATATACTGTATATGTTGCATGTTCACCAGCTGGCTGCTAAATAAATCTGCTGTTTCCTGTCTAACAACAGCTCATGCTACTGCTGGGATTTTGCAGTTTCTTTTTCAAGCAAAGGCCAAAACCGCTGCGCTCAAAGACTCCAAAAAGCTCCATAGTAATGTGAGGAAATGTAATGTAGTGTTTTGTAGAAAATATAGTTAAACCTGCAAGAAGTGATCTCTTATGCGCTTGGTTTAACAACTAAAGATACATAAATATCTCTTCAGCTGCTCAACGCTCCTCTAGCTTCACCAGCTGGTCTCACTCGCCATCTGTCTGCCGTTTTGTTGCTCGACAGGAAGTGCACAGTTGAATTTTAGAGGTTTTCTCTTTAAACGATGACCTCATGCATCTGAAAACTACACAAAAAGAAGAGTGACATTAACCTCAACAGTAGCTGTAAAGACTGTAGAGAATAGGTTCATAATGAAGATCTACTTATCAGAAGAACATGTGCACTGTTGATCGACTAACAGAGGACTTTTTTGTTTTTTCTCCTGCAGCCGAAGCTGACTCTGCAGAACAGCCTTCTGACTCGTTTCACAGAGACTGGAGACGTTTCGGTCACCGTCCAGGCTTCTAACGGCCGATCCATGGTGCAGGACACCAGGACCGTCCGAGTCTACGGTAAGTCATTGTCATTGAATGTAGAAAAGAAAGTACAGGAATGGCAAAGAATGGGAAATATTTTGTGCTTTGGCTTTGTATGGATCTGGTTGGTTATTGTTCATCTCTGTGCTTTTGATCCGTTCTTAAGATGAGAGGGAGAAAATGTGTTTACACAAGAAGTTAGTTAGATATTGATTCACTTTGAGGACATGGAGCTGAGATGATGCTGAAACAACTACGTCAGGATTTGGTAAAGGTCTCCACTGTTTGTCAGGTTTGACATCAAGAGGACCTGTAAACATTTTTTTTTCTTTATTTTTTAATCCCAGTTTGATTCACTTTTTCAGGATTGTGGATTGTCTTTTTTTGTCCACGTGTTAAATGTATATTATGTGACTCTCACTATAGATGTCCAGTAGATGTCACACTTTAGCTCCGCTCTCTGAGACCAAAACAAAGCTGTCCCTCAAAGCACCTCCTCGCCTCCCTCAGTTTTCAGATCGAGTGTGGCCGTTTGTACGACTGATCTCCTCTCAGCAATGCATCCCAAAGCTGCTTGAGTATTTTAGGCAAAACAACGTTGTTGTTTTTTTAAACAATAGGCTTGATGTGCTTGCCTTGGATACCTTTTTGTGTCACGCCTGGGATTGACCTGCGCACAGTCAAGGGTGTAACCCCGCCTCTGCCCAATGGCAGCTGGGAATTGTGAAAATTCATAAATTCCTAATTTGTCAAACTCAGAATTAGGACAGTGAAAGTTAAACGTTATATTTAGTTCATGACTCATTCAGTCACAAAGGAGACAAACATGCTGGGTGACATTTTCTCTGTGTTGTCTTAAAACATCGTCTGATCACATCTGTTGTTGAGAAAGTGTGCCACAGGAAGAATGATGTCAGGTTTTCTTTTTATAGCGGATGAGCTTGTTTTATTTAAGAGCTTTTGTTTCTTGAGTGACAGTGGAGTTAATGCTTCAACTAATACATCCATGTAACATCAGCTTCGTTGAAGCCTCTGTGAAGAGCTTTTAATTGGTTGTGAAACAGACAGAAATGAATATTGATGCCTCTTTATGAGCTACAAAAGCAAACAAGACCGCCAGCTGTAAGATTGATGATGTCCTTTTTATTCATGTCTGACGTGCTCCTCTGAGACGAGTATCTGATGAAGTGACGGCTGTGTGCAGGAACAAATGTTTACTTTCCACTTTCCACACTGAGACATTTGACTGTTTAGAAAGAGCAGGAGGAGAATATTTTATAGCAGAAAAAGTTTCTGACACGTGAAAAACAAAATCAGCCAAGAGAAAAAAGGTCCCACTTTCTCCACAAGGGGGCACCAAATCAACACCACCAAAAGCCCCTCTTTAGCACTTGATTTATACACCTTTAGATTTGGATTGTTCCTGCTGTTTAGTACTCAGAACTCATGGTGCAATATTTGTGGCTTAGTTACGTTTTTCATAAAGTCTGACAAGCATTTCAATGTACTTAGTATACATTTTTTGCACAACAGAAAAGGCCGGGAAGGAAGATGCGTGATTTGGTTATTGGGTGAGCTAATGTATGAGTGATGATGTATAAGTCATCGTTATCAAACAAAAACAATCGTCACAACCATCATCATTATCAATAATATGGAGACCATCATCATTAAGTTAGTAGGTATTCATGAAAGAGCTGGGTCTTTAGCTTTTTCTTAAAGGTACAGAGGGACTCTGCAGATCACATGGAGTTTGGAAGTTTGTTCCACCACCGGGGGGCGACAGAGGAGAAGAGTCTAGTCAGCGTCTTAGGACCCTGTTGTGAAGGTTGGATCAGACGCCTTTCATTGGCAGAGCGTAGTGGACGGGAGGGAGTGTAGACCTGGATGAGAGAGTTAAAGTAAGGAGGAGCCGTTTTAGTCGCTGTTTTGTAAGCGAGCAGGAGAGTTTTAAATTTGATGCGAGCAGTAACTGGGAGCCAGTGAAAGGAGATGAACAGCGGAGTGACATGTGCTCTTTTAGGAAGGTTGAAGTCGTGCTGCTGCATTTTGTATCATGTGCAGAGGTTTGATAGTGCATGTAGGAAGACCTGCCAGCAGAGAGTTGCAATAGTCGATGTGTGATATCACAAGAGCCTGTACCAGGAGCTGTGTAGCGTGTTCTGACAGGTAAGGTCTTCTTGATGTTGTACAGGGCAAATTGACATGACCGGGCAATCGAGGCTACTTAACCCTTAAAAGTTAGGTGGTCATCAATCATGACACCCAGGTTCCGGGCAGACTTTGTGGGCATGAGTTTGGTTGTTCCAAGCTGGATATTGATCTGTGGTTGCATAGAGGGACTGGCTGGGATGACAAGGAGCTCAGTCTTTGAAAGATTGAGTTCATTCATCCATTTAGAGGTATCAGCAAGGCATGATGAGATTCTTGCAGAGACTGTAACATCGTCTGGTGAGAATAACAGGAAGAGCTGGATATCGTCAGCATAGCAGTGGTATGAGAAGTCATGAGAGTGGATTATTGAACCAAGTGAGTTTGTGTATATGGAGAAATACTAACCACTAACCACTCTCCTGTTGTGTCCGATTTCAGATAACTTCCAGGTCATCCCTCTGAGCTTCAGCAGGAACCTGGACCGCTTCAACCCAAACATCCCCGAGTGGAGAGCCGACATCGGCCAGGTGGTCACCAAAATACTCACAAAGGTAGGACCTTAAAGGGTAAATCACTTCTTAAAGCACATCCTACACACAGGTAACAGTGTTCAAGTTTTTCTTAAGAGAAGCTAGTTTGGGAAACACGTCCAAATAAATTCAATTTGGTCGTAAAATGTGAGTCTACAGCTGTCCCCCTTTATATTTCAACATCCACTTTCCTCATCTTTTCTGTTTGTATGCTTTTTTTTTATGGCCTTCTTAAGCCGGCTGCACACTCGACGATTTTCAAATCTTACCCAATTTTAAAAATGTGGGACACCACAGACATAAGGATAGTTTGACAATAATCCAGCCGGACCGGGAGACCACACACCTGCAGTCAGCAGTAACCATTTCACAGACATCAGATCTCACAGAAACTTGAGAGATCAGTCGTGACTTCAGTAGGAAAACAAATATGGAGGACTATCGACGTCGTCAGCTGTCTGTCCTTATCTGTGTGTTCAGGTTTATTTAATTTGCAGCTCGAGCTGAGTTTTCAGAGTACGCAACATCCGATTGGTGCTGCATCCAAATATAACGACTCTCATTGGCTGCTGCTGACTCTGGTATTCCGTCTGAGGAAGTTCAATCTGTAATCATAAATATTCGGGGAGGCTCTGACTCGATCGGGAGCAGTAACATAATCGTGGTGACACTACACACTTGAGGATTATTGGACAAATAATCCGTTGCGACAAGCCGCGAGTCTGACCACGCCCCCCAAAGATTGAAGGGGGGAAAACGGGCCTTAGACTGTGTAGTGTGCAGCCGGATTTATTATGATGTGCTTTGATCTTAAGCTTAATGAAAAGTATTTTTTTGAGTCCATCACTACAGGTGACATTTATTTTTTCAACATTAGACATATATTTGAGTGCAGCTTTAAGACCCGACTGACCTTTAACCCTGTGTCCTCAGATCACAGGTGTCCCTCAGGAGTCCCTGGTTACAGTGGTGAATCCGGGCCTGCCCACCTCAGCGGACCTGTACGTCCTCCCACAGGACAGCAAACCAGACAAGAGGAACATGTTTGTAGATAAGGTACAAACACGAGAAGAAGTGAAACCCCAAATGCATTTTAGTTTTTTTGTCTTTAAGGACCAAAGGAAGAAACTCTGCAGCTCCAGAAGAAAATCCCACTCATGTTTTCATTTTTTAACATGCAGTGTAAACACACTGAAAAGTAAAACAGGCAGTATATACAGAAACACAACATCTTTAGCCTTTACTGCTATGTGTGATTATTTGGTATTTTGATTATTCAACCCCCGTCATATCCCAGAGACGGAGACACATGTCTGTTATCAAGTCCTTGTTGAATTTTCTGCAATGATTTTCACAAGTATTTTTCAATATCTAGCCCTTCTGGGATTAATAAAGTTGTCTGAATCTGTACTTCCTTCTTCTCCTCAGCGTATCCCAGCCATCATGCAGGCCTTTAACGACAACAACGTCAGCTTCGTGGTGCGGGGGGGTCTCAAAGTGCTGGTGATGCTAGCAGACCCGAACGCAGGTACTGTAATCTTACACGCATAACGTCCTTATGTCTCCTTTTAAACTCGACAGATTCTGATGTGTTTTTAAATGATAATTGCACGTTATTGATTTATTTCCAAGGGCTAGGTCTAATTGCTAACGACTCCACAGCTGCAGCAGCAGAGAATGGTGCGTTCATGAACTACACACCTGCAGCTTTCTGTCTGGGTGCACCTGACTTCACTACCCTTTGATTGCTGAGCTCTTTTCTTCTCTGGGTCCCCTAACAAGTCCAAAGCTTTCCAGTTTAAAGCTCTCTGTGCTAAGCTGTGCCGTGCTGATAATCTTACTCTTGTCAAGATGTTTTCTTGATCATGAGGAGACTTCCTACAACTCCTGCCTCTTCGCTCCTGCAGCTTACTATACTCCCTTGATTTGCCTGAATATAAATTATTTTAAAGTCCTGATTTTTGCAAACATGCTGCATTTTTTAAAATAGTTTTCATGTGTTTGTTTGTCATTCAAAGGCTACCATGGAGCTGCAGGAGGTCCGGGTGTTTGGGCTGGGGCGGTCATCTTCCTTATCAGCCTCATCGCCACCGGATCCTTTATCCTGTACAAGTTTAAAAGGTGAGCTGGTCATTTTAAAGAGCTGTGAGATTTACTGTAGTGAGCGTAGAAGGACAAAGACAGGGCTAGGATCAATAACACTTCTCTATATCTGAAACGAAAAAACATTCTGTCTGACCAAAAATGGACATATTGCCATTTTCTAACATCTCTGGTTCATGGAATAGTTTGTTTCTATTTCAAATAGTTTGTACAGTAGTTCCTTGATTATCCTTTACTTTAATTTGATTTGTATGCTAATTAGCACAGGAATTAAACAGCTTCTGTAAATCAACATATTTTGATTTCCATTCTCAAAAGTGTGGAGAAACTTCAGCCTCAAGATTAATATTTAAAGATAATATTTAATTCTTTATTTTCTTACTAGTCAAGTTACATTCTCCTGAATCTTTGACAGCACCCAATAGGAACTCCCTGCTACTCTGATTGAAGTTTTGGATGTTTTAATTATAATATAGTTGAGTTTCAGACCACGAACAGTGAGTTTGAGGGAAATAAAGGCTGGTAAAATCAGTAGCATAAAGATGATAAATCAACATCTTGTAGAAGTTGATAGTAATGCTTACTTTTTATATCATAGGCTACATTGAGAGAGTAAAAGTAAAAGTTGAGAAACTGTAACTACGGGCGTTTTCACACCTTACCTCTTTGGTTTGGTTAAAACAACTTGCAAACGTTTACCAAATTAGTGCGGTTTGTTTGAGCTGGTGTGACAGCTGTCAATCAAACCCTGGTGCAGATCAAACAACCGTACAGAGACCGCTTGAAAAGGTGGATCTCAGTCCGTTTCTTTTTAGACTCTGGTGCGGTTCGTTTGGAGTAAGAACGTGAACAGATCTCAATCCGACCCAACTGCAGGAAGCATTGTGTTTTATTTGGATTAGACCAGCTGCTGTAGTCAGTCACACAGTGCATTATGGGTAGGATTGTTAACCTTTCACAACCACAACAGCAGCATTGTAAATCTTAGACTAGTGAGGAGGTGTAGATTCTCATAGAGATTTGGTCGCATGGAAAATTAAACCACAACGTTCAACATCACACAACAACCCTGAAATCTACTCACTCTTATATATAACCAGTGGTAGTTGTCCACTGTGTCTTTAGTGCAGCTACAGCCAGGCAGGAGTCCACTAATCTTTGGGTACTTCTGGGATTTTTCCCAAATGAAATTCCAACCAATCAGAAAACATTTTCTGCGCTTATCACACGTTTTGGCCCGCTTGAAAATGTCCCAATGCAACAATGGAACCAATCGTTCCATGATTCAGACCAGAGCAAACAAACTCTAAGTGTGAAGACGCTCTCAGCACTGTCCAAACCAACAAGAAGAAAGAGAACAACATATATCTGGTTTAAGAGACCATTTTGACTAAAGTGACCTCACCAAGACTTTACCTTCAACAACATCATAAACATAATGACTGTCAGGGCGGTTGATTAACTCTTCTGTCATGGTGTACAGAGGCTGATTCAAATGTGGGAGCACATAGTGTTTTTAAAACAACAGACCTGATATCCTTTTAAAGTAACTTCAAGTTCAGCCCTCAGTAGCTGAACCTGCTTCTCAGCAGCCTCTGTGCCCTTTGACCCTTAGTTGATGTAAACGCAGTGACTTCTGCCTGCTGTGATGTCACACCCTCTGTATTGTTTTAAAACGGTCTTGTTTTCTGATTTTAAGAAGGACAATAGTGGTTAATGCTGCTGAACATTAAACCAAATGAATATATTATTCTAGTTAGCTAGCTCCTAAGCACTGTACCCCTCCTCCCCCTCCTGGTAGCTTGCATGAATGTTAATGTACTACTTTGTTTATCTGCATGATTTCTTTTCACATCACTATCACACCAGCAGCACCACCTTGTGTCCAAACACAAAAATCCACCAAAAAGTCACTTTAATTAAACGATGCAGTGAAAAAATACAGCCCCATCTTACAAAAACAACAAATCCCACAGTCCTTTGCTTAGGACTGAGGACGCCTATCCCCCGCTGTTTTTCAGGAAGCTTCCGGGCAACCGCAACGTCTACGCCCAGATGCACAACGAGAAGGAGCAGGAGATGACCAGCCCCGTCAACCACAGCGAGGACACGCAGCACATCATCCAGGGCGAGGAGTTCATCGACGACGACCTGGACTCGCAGACTCTAGGTAACGCAGGAGGTAGCCCCGCCTTCCGTTCCCTTATAAGGACTACCACTAACCACTGCTACTAAAACCCAAGCCACTAACACCAGCAGCTAACACACACCAAGGTACTGGAGGACTTCCCCTTTTTAATCATTATTACTGGTATTACTAAAAGACTCTTTAGTGTTGGTGTTGAGGCGCTTCATGTTCATCATATACAAGACAATCAGTCATTTCATTACTTTATATATACTATATCAACTATATCATGTTTATTTGATTAAGTGTTGTGGATAGGGATGAAATGATGCCTCATGATATAATCAAAAATACAAATTAGGGACAATTCAAATTGATGAGTTAAAAAATATATTGATATACGTTTTTAAACAGAAGAGGGTTAAAAACATGTCTGCCAGAGACAACACAGGAGGGGAGTTTTTTTTTTGTTGGATTTTTTTACCAGAATGCCACTGTGAAATCACAAGGATAGCAAATTAGACTGTAAGACTTTTTTTAATTTTTTGTTAAGATTTATTTTTGGGCGTTTTGTGTCTTTGTTGAAGAGGTAGGACAGTGGATAGAGTCAGAAATCAGGAAGAGAGAGAGTGGGGAATGATATACAGGAAAGGGGCCACAGGTCAGATTCGAACCTGGCCACCCGCTTGGAGGACTACAGCCTCCATACATGGGGTGCGCACACTAACCAATGCGCCACCAGCGCTCCGTGTTGTAAGACTTATGCAGACCACAAACAAAGGACTGGATTATTTCACATTTTGTGGGTCAGTAGACACTCAGGTTACACTCAGAAACACTGTAGAAGTGGATTTTTCATAATATTTAAATCAGGAGTTTTATTGAGCTGCATGTCATGCAAAGCTCCTCTGTGGATATCATGGACTGACAACATGAAAGGTGAACATGAGGAGAATATGGGATCTTTAACCAATACATGTATTTGAGGTCTTTTTGTTAAACTGCATGAGAAAGAAAAATAGAACCTACCTGTTAAAAAATGTGTTGGCCACACTCAGGACTGTAGCTCAGATTTGAATGGATGAGGAAGTTGCTGCATTTCTCATATTTGTTCAGCCTCTAGGATGCACTCTGATTTGATGATAAAGGTCAAACACATCAGAAGCGTTAAAGTGTCTAATATGGACTGTGTGTTCTTTTAGCATTACTCATTTCCTAGTTGGTGTCTCCTTTCTCCTCTCTTTGGCAGGCAACCACTCAGGTGTTGTCCTGAGCATCAACTCCAGAGAACTGCACAGTTACCTGACCAGCTGATGGCTGCCATGGCAACGCTAACGAGCTAGCTCAGCCTAGCCGGCTAACGAGCACAGGGACTCCACTCTGCCTTCCTCCTTTTTTCTCCTCTCTCTCTTTTTTTTCGTCTTTTCCTCGTCTTCTTGGGACACTTCACCTCCACTCCACAGCCTCCTCAACCCTTCTGCTCCAGCTTTGGTGTCATGTTTTATTTCTCTGGAGAAAGGACTGTCTTCTTCTTCATGTCGAACCTGGTTTTCCGCCAGCTCCATCTCTATCTGAGATGGGAGGCGCTCTGCTTTACTTCTTTTTTTTTCACTTCCTGCAGCAGCCCTGGAGACGAGCACTGACACCCTTAGAGGTCGGAGGTTTTAATGACGTCACACTGAGAATCCTCACTTATCTGTGTTTTTGAAGAACAAAAAGTGTGTGTGCGCTGTCTGTTACTTATCAATACTCAAAATTAGCAAGCATGACTCACTGCAGGTGAAGGTGTGACCATCCATTGCCGGCAGGCCGTAGCCACAGAGGACTGCTGTATTTTCTCAAAGCATAAAGGGTGATGTGACCAAGGTTGTAAAGTGAGATTCACCATATTCATAGGGTACCAATTTACCTCTGGCTTCGTTCTCATCTGGGGAAGCTTGAATGCTGTAATTATTTTCCACTATCATGTTTGAGAAAGAAAGTCATACACTGTAAACAGAGGATTTATAAGGATGCTTTCACAGCTGGATAGTTTGGAGAAGTTGCTCTGAAACAGGGGGTGTTTCTCCTCCTCTGCCCGGTCCGTTTGGACAAATGTGAACACTGCAATCACACTCTGTGGTGGAACAAAACAAGCAAGCCGATATTGCCTAAGAGGTGGTCTTGGATCGCTTCCAAAGGTGTGCACAGTTAAACAGAAATGTTACTGTGTTAACCATTAGCAAAGACCTGGATATCAGTTAATCACTTACTCCCATTATTAATGAACTGAAGTTAACATTGACTTTACAGTTTTATCAAAAAACAAGAAAAACACAGCTTTTGAGGTCTTAAGAGGCCATGAAGAACTCTACATTACACACCTGTCTGAATTGAAAATCTTCAATTAGTGGAAACTTTTTTTGATATCGCCTTGCAGACTGTAAGTGTGTTATCACCCTAATTTACATAACTGCTAATGCTACACAACGCTAGCAAGCTACGATTCTCTCGGACCATGTGCCCATTTCAAAACTAAAGCAACACAGGAGCCACAATCTACGCATCTGTCAGACCACCAACGAAAACAAGATTTATTTTTCTTACTGTCTGAAGGTCGACTGTAGCTTCTCTTGCGGTCATAATATTCCAACAACAACGATCCTGCTGCATCAAAACAGTCCCTACAATCCAAATCCAGAAAAAGATTGAATCCAAACACATTACATCCATAAAGATGAACTGATTGCTGACGAAAATGTCCAACTTTTTCCAAATTTTTGACTGTATTATCTCTGTACTAATCCATGAAGCTTTTAATTGACACCTCATTTGAAGTGGTCGAATCCTAACGTTTTAATGTTCAGACATGTTTATAAAACTTGGAACCTTCAACACAGAATTCAGACGTAAAACCAGCTCGGGTTGCTTTACGATACTAGATTTTTAAGCACCATATCATACCTGTTGAGGTACCACAGGGGAAAAAACAAGTCCTTGATATCTGATATTGGGTTACTTCTTGTTTATGATTATCAAAACAATGCAAACTGCACAAAAACATAAATCAGCATGTGTGCAATCTAGACAGCGCTGTCTCTCTCTTCCTCACAGTTAAAAATATGATTGAGGATCTGACGTTTACAAAATGAAAGATTCTTTACTTCTCGATACTACGGATAATTAAAATCACAGAGAGATTGCATGGTTTTCAAACACGTAGTCTCACAAAGTACCGGACAATGTTGACAACTTTACTAGCAGCTTCTGAAGCCACAATGAGCTCCAGGTCACTGAGAAATGGCCGCCATGTGAATATGATGAATTTCAAAGATATGAAATTGTTACTCTTGCTCTTTTTTGTGTTTATCTCTCTTTTATTCCCACGATGACTCTCTTCACAGGCAATAATATGCTCTCTGTGGAATGTAGGATTGCATAAACCCTTGTGAATTTGCATAATGACAAGCATGCAAACACAAGAGGGCGGTGTTGCACTTTTTTGTAAAATCCCACTCACAGGTACAAGGAAGAAAAACAAAGCTTAAAGTCCCAGAGCAGTCTTAAGACTTGTATGTTTGTTTTAAGATCAGATCACAGCAGTTTGTTGGGAGTGGGGGGGGGGTTTAAATCAGCACCACCTTTTTGTCCGTCCCATGGTGCCTAAAACAGCAGATCTGAATCTGCTCAGTAACATTACCTGTTGAGTTTATTTATTTCTAGTAACAGAACGCCTCTTCCTCCTCCCCCCCCCCCCCACTTGTCCTGGATCAGAGAGACTCCTGGAGACAAAGGCCGCTGTCATGGAGGGAAGGTGTAGTTGATATTTTAGTGTATCAGCCTATATTAGGCGTTGCCCGCAGTGGAATCATGTCTCCTTAAAGGTTCGGTTTGTTTGTATGTAAATGTGTAAATATGATCAATCTCCACTTTGTACATACTCCCTTTGACATGTGTGAGTGTTTTACACTTCTACCAAAACACACAGCATTATTTTTGTTTTTTAGAGTGAACCTTCATCGAGTCGAGTGAATTTGAAAAACTCTCACTGTTTACAGTTTCATCAACGCCATTGCCTGCTTCCCATGTACGCATTTTTTCGATTCTTTCGGTGTGATCTCATGTGTAAGATAATTTTTTCCGTCTTCATCGTTAACTGAAAATTAATTCATTCTCTCATAAAGATACTCACGACGACACAGTGGAAACTATGTATATGGATATTTTTGATATACTCGTCATTTTTCTCAACACGTGTGAACACTGGTTAATGTTTCTGTTGCCTTTTTGATGACATTTTGATTGGTTGTGTGATTGCACTAACGATGTAAGCTGAGCTGCAGACACGTACCTGAGTAAGTCCGCACACTCTCCACGGACAGGTCTTTGGACAAAAGGCCTTTAAAGACTAAAAAATACCACAAGCACCACCCCTCAGTTCGTCTTATATTTGATACAAACAGACCACATTCACTCGTTCTGGTTTACGCTTCATCTTTTGTACATATTCTGCTCATGGTCGACTTGTTCTTAGTTTTCTAGTGATGTGTCGTCATTGTGTCGGGGGGGAGGGGGGGGCGGAGAGTGGGAATGGTGGATATTCCAATATAATAGGGAAGGAGTTTCACAGCTGATGGCACCAATCAAGCAGTTTTGACCACACCGTTTTGTTTTGATTCTGTTCTTCTTTCCTGCGGTACGTTCGATTTGTTAAGTTTTGCTATTAAAACAATTGTGTGTCCTCATCAGGGAGCGTTGTGCACTCAACCTGCATACTGGAATAAATCACTCCCATAACTTGTATGTGTTTTGGTTTTGATTTGTCTGCATATCATCATATTCAACATCAAGACTTTAAGCTTCTGATGTAGTACAGGGGTGGGTCAGTCGATCGTCTATCAACTGGAAGGCCGGGGGTTCGATCCCCAGCTCCTGCAGCAACATGTCCGATGTGTCCTTGGGCAAGACACTAACACCAAGTTGCTCTCGCTGCCTCGTCAGCGGCATATGAATGTGTACGAATGGGATTAGTCATTACTGATGTTCTCTTTACACAGCAGCCTCTACCATCACTGTGTGAATGTGTAGGTGTGACCTGCGGTGTAAAAGTGCTTTGAGTGGACTAGAAAAGCGCTTTACAAGCTCAAGTTCATTTACTATTTACAGACTCACGTTCAAAACTGAAACCAGCAATTTAAGCAATAAGGGAAGACAATGTGTGTGCTTTGATGAATCAAAATGTTTGTCTGTTACTTAGGGTGCCATAACACTTGCAAAGTTGTCCTGTACCGTGCTTAAGCAGGATTGCAATCTTCTACAATCACGACACTGAGTTAATAGAGGCATTTTAACTGTATCCTCAGCTCTAGTGAGAGAGCCTGAAGATAGCCAGACTGCTTCACTTAGTTTAGTTCGTTTTATCTTTCACAATATGAATATACAACACCAACACAGATCAATGTCAGTGACAGGAAGGAGCTAGAGTGAAGCCTAGCCTCCTGGCAAACAGCTAAAATGGGCCCACATGTCAGTCAAGTTAGCCACACCCCAAATTATGCAATTTTTTTTAACTCTAATTTGAAAAAAATCATCAAAACGGATCAGTTTTAAAAAGTAATTAACCCCATGTAGTTTTAGTATCAAGAAAAAAGTCATAACGTCAGGAATACAGTTGAAATACAATTTAAAGTAAAAGGTCCAAATGTTGAGATAAAAGTCAAAATGTCTAGACAATTTTCAGAATAAAGTTGAAATACTGATTAAAAAAAAGTAGAAATTTAGAGAAGAAATTTGAATGTCAAGATTTCAAAAAGAGAGAGTCAAAAATAAATTATTTCAGCTTAATTCTCAACATTTTTACTTTGTTCTTGAAATTGGATTAAAAAATGTTTTTATATATATATGGACTTCTTTCCAGACATTTTGACTTAGTTTTCCAATTTCGTCTTTTATTTTCTAAGTGCATAGTGAAAAAAACTCATTATTTATTTTGCCCTTATCCTCTACCTGAAAATCAACGGCTGAAGGTGTAGAAGAGTAAATGCTCTTGAACAATCCGACAGAGACTATGGCTTGTGAATTGAGGATCTGTTTATTTCTCTTGCACTGTAGTTGTATGTGCATTGCTTTTTGCATATCCACCATTGCAATATGAACAGATGGGGATTGCACATTTCATAGTCCTGGTGGTGACTTTATTGTGATGTGCTCTGTAGCTGTGTGAATTGCAAATGCAGTATTCCAATAACTATTTTAAAACTCACTGTGGCTGTGCAGTGCTTTTTGAATAATCAAAGTTTTATAATATGCCCTGATGCTGTTGCTGCATATATTCTAAAGCAGTGGTTCTCAACTGATCGAGCCTCATAATGTCATGTTCTGGGGAAAGCATTGTGAAATGCACTCTGGATTTATATTCTTGTGATGTCATCTTTTTTTGCACTGCAGCTCTGTGCTTTGTCTGCTGAGGTTATTGCTGTAATATGCACTGAGGCTGTGTGCAGTGAGCTTTCCAATTTCTGTTTTTGCATTGTAGCTGTGCCGTTATCATTTTTTTTGGCGGACCTGTTTTACTCTTTCCATATTTAAGGTGTGTCATATTTTCTTTGCACTTTCAAACTAAAGCTGTGTGCTTCTCATACTCTGGAGACCTCATTGTTGTAGGCCAGGGGTGCCCAACCTTTTTTAAACCAAGATCTACTTTTAAAGTTGCCAGTCTGCAGAGATCTACCAGTCCACATAGTGAGCCGTAGCCTTTACCAACAGCCTACAAACGCATTTAATACTCACACAACAAACAGAAAATAATTTCAGATATAATAAATGAGAGTTCTGTAAAAAATAATGCTAATTTTTTAAACTCTTATTTTAGGGTAGGCTACATTTTAATATTACGTTTGTATTTATATCACATATGTTTTTCCCTTAATTTAGTTTACAACAAACAACTTTAATCTGTGTGGAGATGTTCACAGACTACAGCAGGCTGCTGTGAGATGATGTTGCTTTTGTTAAATTAGCTGCAGACACGGTGGAGCCGACCGTTTGACCGGATCACGTGTGTTCACGCCTCGGTCCGTACGGATCACGGATCAACTGTGTGCTGTAGCACTAAAAGTAAAAAGTAAAAAAGTTCGCGTGGTGGCTGGCGCTCCAGTGCAAGTGTGTGTGTGTGTGTGTGTGTGTGTGTGTGTGTGTATGTGTGTGTATGTATGTGTGTGCGTTTTCGCACACACATGACAGCAGAGAGGAGCAGAGAAAAGTAGCTGCAGCTACATCAAATGCGCTTAATACTCGTTGCATAGTTTCTATATATGACTTTTTGGTAAAACATTTAGCCCCCCGGTTTTACCTGCACGTCCTTGCGCATGCCTGCACACTCTCTCTCTTGCGCGCGCGCTCTCTCTCTCGCTCCCCCGCTCGCTCTCTCGCTCGCTCTCTCATGCACGCAGCAATTTCATGAATAAATGAAAAATTAAATACACACAGGTCGGAAGTATACTTGGGCTCCCCACACAGGTATCGTGTGTGGGAAAAACTGCAATGAGATGAAATTGAAATCACTTTTCTATTTTACAATTGTATTTTATATTGACAAAACATCTCGATCGACTGAGAATCAGTCAGCGATCTACCTGTTGATCGTGATCGACTGTTTGGGCACCCCTGTTGTAGGCTGTCTGTGGCTGTAGCCTGTGTGCATTGCTATTTGCATACTACAGTGTTTAAAAAAAAAAAATGCATTGTAGCTGTGCTTTCTTCTTATTGGCTGACCTGTTGTATTATTGTTTACTGTGCAGTTGATGTATTTTTGCTAAATGCACCAATAGCTGAGTATTTAATTTAAGTAGGAAAAAGACTTAAGTCCGCACACCAGAAGCTGCTCTAATTAAATGATATTAAACGGAAATATCACCTCATGTAACGTTTTGGCCCTTGCCCTTCATCAGACATGAACAACTGAATAGACACACCACATATACAACCCCTGAGGTCACCTGACAGGTCGTGTGATACAAAATTAGGAAAAATATATAATATAAACTATGCAAGACATTCTTATTGAAGGTCCACATACCTATGCATAGATAATCCAAATACATAAAAATACATTAATACACAACTCCAACAGGAATAAGCCTGCAGAGACTGGAGGATTACCATAACAACTTGAATTACATGACTCTAAACATCAGGAGAATCCGTCATAATGACATGTAAAACAAGGAGAGAACGATATAATAGAGGCGGCTCTATAATATAGAAAAAGTGATAGAGACGGATGAAGAAATCTAAAAACAATTATAGCACAGCAATGTGCAAGTCTAGAGATAAATGTAATAAGTTATAAAATAAAACGCCAAAAGCAACACAATAAAATAATGAAAAACTATCATATAAAATATGTTAATAGATAAAACTAAATGAGATAACATGAGATTAAGTTAAAAGCCAGACCAAAAAGGTAGGTCTTGAGTTATAGATACGGATATTAGATCAGATCTGTCCCATCTCTAATTACAGATAGACTATACAGCTATATTTCACTTTCACAGTTCAGTCTTTTCTCTTTTTTACTTCTTCTTGGACATTTTCCTCTCCTTGTGGAAAACCTTCCCATCAGGCTGCTCTCTCCACTTCAGGGTGACTCCACTCAGTCCATTCTTCTTCAGCCGGTCCTGTGATACACAAATGGAAACCCTCTGTAAACATTCACTTAAATCTGCATTTTCTAATTGGAATGTAGTATTAGTTTGACCTCGTACGTACAGGTTAACAAGATAAAAACATCAAACTAACAAAATATTCCAATTAATAAGACTTAAACTAAAAAATGCACAAAGTTAGAAGAAACACCTGAAATTAAAATGTCTAAATGTTTTTGAGGACGCACCTTGTTCAGGATGTCTGCTTTGACAGCAGGGTCATTTAGATCCATAGAGGAGTTCTCTGGCTTCATCCTCAGCTTCATCACCTGCCTCTTTACTACTGCACATGAACAGAGAAGAAAAACGTCACCCTCATGATGTGTTATATTAGCTTGACTAGCTAAAACAGAGGCCTGCATAAAAGAAACGGTATCGTTTTATCTCATGAATTGAAAACACCTTTAAAAGTCACGGGGCAAATGTGTGGAGCTCCTCTGTAACTGTATGTTTGTATTTTTTTCTGCTTGTATCCCTGAGAAATAAATTCATTTCTTTACAGTTTGACACCAGTAATTATAAAGACAATCAGTAGGATCTAACGCTCATAGCAATGTGTAACTCCTAGCGTTTAAAATGGGTACTGCAGTTCAAATTCATAACTACATTTAGGGAGAGCTGTCTAACCCCCCCCCCGACTCCACTCTAGAGTCACTGCTCTCACAGGTCACCATGTGGTGGATACTGAAGCTTCAGTGTTTATCCAGCTCTGCATGGGTCTGTAAACCTTTCTGTGTTCTAACCTCTCTCCATTTTTCAAAAGCATCTCCAATATTGATCCTAGTTTGAGCACGTTTCTGCTCGTGGAGCTTATTAGAAACATGCAGAGGCTTTTTAGGTCGGGTACAATCACTTCTATCTGAACCACTTCTCTTGCCCGCTTCCAACACTGCAACACCTGTTGGTTTGCTCTTTGCCTGCTAACTGTGGGGCGAGTGGCAAAACGGCCGTGTGGGGGTGCCTGAAAACTGCCTACTTCTCTAGTCCATACAAATTCAGAGCATTCAGGACCAGAATCTAAAGTTAGAAGGAGGACATACTGGCTGCTGCATTGTTGTCAGAGAAGCCAGCACTTCAACATAACATGTTTCCTTAATG